TGAAGCATTTGTATATCATCTTCATGACTTGCATATTGAGATCAATAAACAACATGACGCAAGTAATGCATTATATAAATTTCAAGCTGATTCGCATAAATGATATTTTGAATTTAATATTGGGGATTATATCATATTGCAAGCTTGTAGTGTTGGTCCTTTAAAAATTTTAAAGCATGTTGGTTCAAATGCACATATCATTGCCCTTTCATCACATTTTGGCTACCACTCTGCTTTAAATATTGAGGACTTCATTACTTACAAACACCGTATTACTTTCTTTGATGATCCATTTCTACCTAATTTTGTGGACCACCAATTTGACTATATTGATATTTCTACTTTAATACCATCTATCACAACACACAGAGATAAAATTGATGTTATTTTAGATGAACGTGTTGTATTGATCAATGATGATAAAATTCAGTACTTCCTTGTTTGTTGGGTAGATCGACGTGCTTCTCATGCTCCTCATTATGTACAATCATGTAAAATTTTTGAAGATGAGATGCATGAATATTGGTTATTTGGAGTCCAGTATCAGTACTTGGCTAGAAGGAAAGATCGTCCCCCTTGATCAGATCATATTCTTGGGAATAAGCTACAGTTTTCAGTACTATCAATTATGGAATTTCGTAACTTGGTTCGTCAGAAAGATCGTCCCCCGTGGCTTGACTTGAAGCATTTGGAGTATCAGATTGACTGCAGCCTATACTATCTATCAACTCGACAGGGTCTAGTTTTTCTCCCACCCCGAAAAAGTTGATGAGGATATCGGACGATGTTTACTTATTTTATTTAAGTTTTATTTATTTTCTTGAACTATTATTTAAATTTGGACTTGTATGGACTCGAGCCCAAGTTCGTTAGGGTTGCTTTACTATTTAAACCTATTTTGTATTGTAATTTTCTGTTGGTGATGAATGAATAATTATTTTGGTGGCTTATGGCGCATCCCTCCCCTTATTCTACCGTCTTCTATTAAATTCTTCTTCTTCCCCCCTTTAATTCCCCATTCTTCTCTTTAATTCCCTCTCCCTATATATGTGTTCTATTTCTTAATTAATTGTCCCGTTGGTGCTACATCAGTTTAAGCATCAGATTTGTTAAGAATCTAGTCTTTGTTTCGGAATTCTGAGACTAGCATATGTTTTGCTAATGCACTTATAAGTCGTCCACTTTTTCTTTGAGTTTTGCATCCAATGTTCACACTCTAGATTCCTTTAGTTTCGTGTAAATATGCAGTTCCTCTATTATCCTAGAACTAAAATCGATTCTCCATGGTTTGATATATTCTGAATTATCATATTTATATTTTAGTATTTCTAGTAGTGTGTGATATAATGCACATTCTTATGCTGCTGTAATTCAATTTCTTTTATTCGAACTGTTGGAATAGGTATACCATTCTCTGGTCCTTAAATTGGATAAGAACATTACGTATTACTAGATCTCTGTAAGCCAGTATACAATTTGCTATGCAATAAGTCATATTTTTTCGAAAAACAAATATCTGGTTAAAATTGTTGCAGGTTTTTCTGTTGGTGAATTTGTTCATCTCTAAAAACATTGCCCGGATCAATCAGGGTGTTTACTTCTGCCAGTATCTTGAATATACTTTGAAACATTTTCTTCCCCAAATCATAGCTTGTTAGTAGGTGGTGTTATCTTGCAGGTTGATCCCTATTCCCTAAGGAGGGTGTATTTAATCGAGACTTTTAAATACTTTTAGAGATTTAAAAAGTTTGGGTGTATTCAATTGAAACTTTTAGAGACTCTCTAAAAGTTTGGGTGTATTCAATAGAGACTTTTAAAAAGTCTCCAGATTTTACGGGGTATTCAATTGAAACTTTTTAGAAGTCTCTACAAGTTTTGGGGTATTCAATTTAGAGGGACTTTCAGGGAATTTAAAATTTCTTGGACTTTCAGAGACTTTTTAATAAAAAATATAAATAAGATTTTTCTCCCAAAATCTCTCATCCATAGAGAGATTTCTAAAAAGAGTATGCTATTCTTATTTCCCTCTAGGTTTTTCCTCTATCTCTTCCAATTAGGTATTTCTTTGAATCTTTGCTATGAGTTTTCTTCAAATCAGGTTATGGTAAATTTCCACTAGTTGATCTCTATCTCTCCCTCTAATTTCAAAGATTCATTTTTAATTGAATGTTGTGAATTCTCATAAATATTCCTCGAAAAGTCTTTAAAAGTCTTTAGTAAATGTCTCCACAAATTCAGGAAAAACTTTTACTAATTCCTACCAAATCCATAGAAATTACTTAAAATTTTACAAAGTCCACAAAAGTCACCCACTTAAAAAAATCTCCAAAAGTCTTTAAAAATCCCAATTGAATACACCCCCCTAAATCAAGATCATTGTAATTGATGTAAGCAGCCCGA